GAAGTAGAAAACCGAACATCTGGGGAAAGATTGAGTTGATGAACCGGAAAAAAAACGGCTAACTGGAAAGTGTACTGCAAGCAGTGATAAAAAAAATGAAATGAAAGCGGGAGTCGAAAAAAACAGTTTTATGATGCTGAGGAGTCTCGTGGTTTTTTTTAAGATGTATGGTTGATCCTCGCGGCGAACTCGGGGTAAAAAAATGAAAAGTGAACGACAAACGTGATAAAAGAAAACGTTTATATAGTGAACATTTGCGGGTGAAGCTATAACTTAAAATAGAGTTTAAATGAACTAAAATAAATTCGATAAAATTTGAACAATTAAAACTTAACAGAAAGAAATTTACTAGCTGGAGTGCGAAAATTACTAAAAGATTATTAAAAGAAAACATTTAAATAAATTAATTAAATCAAGTGATTAGTTGGTGACTGCAAACCATGTATGTTCAGAATAATATTTGCTCAACACCGAAGAAGAAGACTCTGAATTAAAGGGAAAAACCCAACAGAAGGACGTTAGCCAGTGATATCTAAACAGTTGGTTAGCTTCAAATATTGTTAACGGCCAGCAACAGTTGTATGCAGCAGCAGCAAAGAATTCTAAAGCATGTTTTATTTTATGTATTTATTATATCAATGTCATTTTTTTTATATAATTAATTGAATTTTGTATATATAAATACCTATACATATAAATCATATTATATATATACTATATAATGTTATATACTACATAAATCACATATTACATGAATTGTATTAATTATTTTATTACTTATTATTGTATTATTTTCTTTGAAATATATCTAGTTTGTAATAATTAAGCATATATTATATAACCTGTGTTATTTATTTTGTTAGTTATTTATTTTATTAGTTTTCTGTTTGGAAATATCATGAATTGGTTATTCTTAGTTTAAATAGTTATATGATATTTTTTGTACTGAACCCTGTTATACGCTGAGTATACCCCAGCCTGGGAAAGGGCCGGCAAAGGTCTTTACAACCCTTAATGTAAGAAAGCAGCCTCTATGTTAACATTAGAAATGCCCCATTAACTAATAAAATTTTAAAAATTAATTAAAAATAAAAATTTATTTTGTAGTAATAATTTTGCGTAATGTATAAAAATTTAATTTTTTCCGACAAATTGTCTTAAGCGCGGTGCAGACTATCATTCTAGAGTGTCATTCAAGAGAGAAAAACGATGAATGACACTCAAAAATGATAGTCTGCACCTTTGAATGACACGCAACCACCAAAATTTTGGTGTGAAGTTCTGTGACTGTAGATATGCCTTTTTGACCAGCGTTTTTAAAGCCACTACGACACAAAAAAAAACATTTTAAAAAAAGAACTGACTCGGACAGGTTACAAAAAACCAACAGAACATTTTTTATTATATTCAAAAACAATTCAGATAATTTTGGGGTTGCCAAGTGCAACAAAAAATAAAAAATGAAGTGAGGGTTATCAAAAAGTAAAATTATTAATAACAATAAATAAAATTTGATGTATATAAATAAACTAATAGTAACTATTTCACGAACAATATGTATGAATCTTACAGACCCTTTAGAAATTAGGACTGAAAATATGCCATAATGTGCTGGTGAATTGTAGAATTTGAACAAACTGATTGCCAATTCTACCCTTTTAAAGTTAACTATTTTGATTATATTGGAGTTTCTTGCCCTGTGAACTAGTGATCTTTGATCGCTTTCCTTGGTTGCACTAAATCGATATTCAGGGATATGAGTTTTAAGAAGAAGTTCTAGTATGTCAGCAAAAAAGTTTATAAAGGTACTGTCTGTATTTAGGCAGTATTTGGGACATCTTTCAGTTCCTTACAAATGTTTTTTCGTGAGTTCCTTTATTCTTATTTATTTATTTAGTGCATTAAACATATGCTTTTCATTGCACTATTAGAAACTAACTTAAAATTTAACATAATATTCAATCAAGTATAATTTATTTAGAATGTTATTAAGAATAAATCGAAATTACAAAAATTATAAAAAAAGATAAACTTATATACAATATAAGTGAGCTACAACTTAAAATGAAATATTATGATAAGGAAGTTTAAAAATTAAATTAAAATTAACATTGAATTTAAACTAAAAATATAATATTATTAATTAATTAGAGAATTTTAGAATAACAAAGAAAGAAAGAAAGAAAGGACAAACACAAAATATTTTATTTTTAATTTTATTGAAATTTGGTTGACCATACAACGCTGTTTCGAGTATTGCCAAGTACTCTTCATCAGTAGTCTTAGAAAATAATCGAATTTTTATTTAATTAGTTTATAGTCCGTATATAATTTGTTTGGACTGCAACTGCCGGGCTTAGAACTTGTGCCTGTCAAATTAAAAGCGTTTCTCTAAAAAAATTTCTAAAATTCTCTTAAAAATTTAAATATTGCAAGAGTTCTGTTAGAAAACAGAGGTTGCAATCAATTATGAATGTATTCCGGATATTAAGTAGTTTTCAATTTAAACAGAAATAAGTAGTTTCGAATATTTTAATACTGCTTAATGTCACAACACGGAATAGTGTTCCAATAAACTGTAAGGTAATCAAACCGTTTAAGGCCCTGTAAGATATTTAACTAATGCATTATATTTAATAATTGAAGTTCCAATAGCCATCGAAGGTAATTCATCTTAGTTTAATTCAAGCCTAGTTTTCAAAGCAAAAATAAAACTATTGCTTAAAATTTTGCTTTCACAATTGCTTAAAATATTGCTTTGTGTTATATCTGTATAATTTCGATATTTATTATTCAAAAAACTCCTAGTTATTATTATTTCACAAGTTCAAAATAACTGACAGAATTAAAATGTTAATTCTTCTTTATCTGTCATCTTGGCAGAGTTGCCAACACCTCCCCTTTTGAGATTAAATCTCCAATGCGGTGATTCTAGGGCCTATAACGGTCAATAGGATGTCTAGTACGCCTTGGTCGGGTATACGGAACAACTGCCTCATTGTGCTTCTCAGTTTGAGGGATTGCAATCTCGGTTACTTCGTTGAAAGATTGATCTGGAGTCGAAACCATGTTGTTGTTAGTTATTTCGACCACATCTTTAGGTGTTGTTTCGTAGAGTCCAAATGCATCAACTAAACACTTTTCGTTGGCGATATCTTCGGAAGTACATATTTCTAAAGATAACTCATTTTCTTGATCTTTTCGGTCACGAATTTGGTTGGCATGTGCACGAATAAGTTTGCCATTTTGTAAGCGAACATTATAAATGACGTTACCTATGCGTTCGATTATTTTTCCTTTTGTCCATTCAAAGTGTTTGTTTTTAAATATATTGACATAAACGAGCTCTTGTTTTTCGTAAAACTTTGGCTTTGCACCGTGCCTTTTGTCAAATTGCGCTTTCATTTTGAGTTGTGTATCGCACTTGTTTTTAAACTTGGCATTTGGGTCTGGTAAAGACACCAGCGTTGGTTTAATTAAGTCAAGTTTAATACGGATATTTCTTTTTAGTAAAACTTCAGCTGGCGATTTACTGTCCTCATTTTGCTTATTCGGAGTTGATCGGTAAACTTGTAGAAATGTTTGAAGATTTTCAGCAGTTACCCCCTTCCCATTTAACTTTTTGAGTGCTCGCTTTAAAGTATCCACAAACCTTTCGGCTTGTCCATTTGACATGGGATAGTACGGACTGCTTTGTATATGACTAATGCCGTTTTCCGCTAAAAACTGTTGAAATTGGTGACTCACAAATTGAGTACCATTGTCTGAAACTATTGTCTTCGGTAACCCAAATCTAGTGAAAATTTCTTTCAAGCTGGAAATTGTTTGAGTTGCTGTTATAGATTTTGTTTGTATAATTTCTGGCCATTTTGAGAACGCATCGATTACGACCAAAAAGTAGTATGAATCTATTGGTCCTGCATAATCAATATGGAGCCGTTCCCAAGAATTAGAAGGTTTTGGCCAAGGATGTAAAGTTGTTTTTGTGGGCATTTTAGCTGCTGCGGCACAATTAGAACAACTTTTCACCATTGCTTCAATATCGTGATCGATATTTGACCAATAAACGTAGTTCCGCGCGATGTCTTTAGTACGACCTATGCCTTGATGACCTCGGTGAATTTCTTTAAGAATGCGCTTTCGGAAAATTTGAGGTATAATAATGCGTTGTCCGAACATTAAACATCCGTCAACTATACATATGTCGTTTTTTCGGTTAAAGTAAGCTTTTAACTCACTGTTGTTGCAGTTTGATGGCCATCCTTCAGTTACATATTCGAGAATTTTAGCTATAACCTTGTCCTTAGCTGTTTCGTAAGTAATCATTTTGCTGGTAAGCGGCAGCTTATCAAGCGAGTTATGTAAAATTTGTTTACTTTTAATTTCAAACTCTACTGCAGCGATGACATAGTCTTCTGAAGGATTGATTGTGTTATGTATGAGTCGTGATAAAACGTCTGCATACCCAAAACTGTTAGTTGAAATAAACTTTAATTCGAAGTCGTATGCAATCAGTTTAATTGCCCAACGTTGAATTCTATTTGCTTGATGCACCTTAATTCCAGTTTTATCACCAAATATAGCCAGAAGAGGCTTATGATCTGTTTGAAGTTTGAATCTTCTCCCAAAAACCATTCTGTGAAATTTCGTAACCGCGAAAATAAGCGCAAGAGCTTCTTTTTCTATTTGGCTATATTGTTTTTCTGTGGTCGTTAGTGATCTGGACGCATGACATATTACTTTCATTGAACCGTCGTCAGCTTCATGAAAAATGCAAGCTCCGAGCCCATAGTTAGATGCATCTGCAGCGACTACTACGTTTTTTAGTGGATCGTAATGCGCTAATAATAACTCTGATGACAAAATTTGCTTGAAACCATCCAAACAGCGTTGATGAAGTTCTGTCCATTGCCACTGCTTGTTGTTTTGAAGTAGTTCGTCTAATGGTCCTCGGTATTTGCGCATGTGATTTATGAATTTTCCATAAAAATTGATAGCACCTAAGAATGATCTAAGTTCGGATTGATTGGTTGGCGCAGGCATTGTCTTGATTGCTTCAATGTTTCATGGATCTGGGCGAATGCCGTCTTTACTGACAATATATCCCAAGTAAGCAATTTCAGGAACTGAAAAATTGCATTTTGCGATCTTGAGTATTGATAAATACGTTGTAGAACTTCATGTAAGTTGTTGTCATGCTCTTGTTGGTTTCTACCTGAGACAAAGATATCGTCAATGTAAGCAGCTGCGCAATCTAAGCCCGCAAGCATTTTATCCATAATTTGTTGGAAAATTGCCGGAAAAGTTTTAACGCCAAAAACCATACGCTTGTATTTGAATAAACCTAGATGCGTGTTTATTGTGAGAAGTTCTTGCGATTTGCTATCAACTTCGATTTGGAGAAAAGCGTCCGAAAGGTCTATATGACTAAATACTGTTGCATTGCTAATTTTTGCAAAAATATCCTCTGGAAGCGGTAGTGGATACTTGTAGGATTCAAGCGCGTCGTTAAGACCAGTTGAGAAATCAGCGCAAATACGAATGCTACCATTTGGCTTTTTGATAACTACGATTCGTGCGGCCCAGTCAGAGTAATTGATGGGTGCGATAATGTCGAGATCTTGAAGTCGCTTAATTTCTTCTTCAACCAAATGTTGAACTGCGTATGCTACCGGGCGCTTAGGTCGAAAAACAGGTTGAGAGTTTGGTTTGATACTTAAATGTGCCTTAGTTTTATTACAAAGACCCATAGCATTCTCGAAAAGTTCTGGAAATAATTTTTCCGGAAGAAATTTGCAATTTGACGACTTTATTGAAACATTACTTGCCTGTTTTGTTGTTGAAATTTGGCTGCAAATAGCATTAAGCGTCATATCGCTAAGTTGAAAAGCAGTTAACCAGTCTAATCCGAATACGTTCAAATCGATCGTTGTAACGAAGCACGTAAGTGTTCTAATTGTGTCTTTTAACTGCACATCACATGTAAATTTTGCGTACAATGGTGAGTTTCCAGTTGCACTTTTAGCAGATTCTGGTTGTACTTCCATTGTATTTAAAATATTTAATTTGTCGAAATTAAATTTTGAAATGAAAGTTATGTCCGATGCAGTATCAAATTGCAATTTGATTCGCACATTGTTGATTTTAACATGGACATATTTACGCTGTGAAGCTATGATGCTGTTCGTTGTGTATATACTGTTGGATCGTGGCTGTGAAAATGTTTTTGCTTTACCATTGCTATTATTTTTGTTGTTGCTATTGCATTTTGATTTTGATGAATTTTTCGCTTTGCAGTAACCTTTTTTATGGCCTATGTTGTGACAGTCTTCGCATTTATAATTTTTGTATGGGCAGTCACGCACATAATGCATTGCTCCACAAAACCAGCATGGTGTTTTCGGTTTTTGATTGTTCTTAAGCTTATTTGCTTGTACTCGATTCACCTGATTTTCGCGTGATTTATTTTCTACCAGCGCTGTGTCGGATTTCAAATTAATGATACGCTGACACTCGTTTGTTAGTTTTTCCAAGTTGATGGTATCAGCTTCTGTGTTCAGTTTGGTCAATATTCAGGTTCTTATTTCGAAGTCTGCTTCCGATTTCAGCCCCAATACGAACATTAAACATTTGAACTGGTCCTGTGACAGGCTATTCAATTTAAAATTTTCACAGTGTTTATTAACCTCGGCTGCGTACGTAGTATAGTCGGTATCTGGTGGTTTGGTTAACTGTAAACAGCTATAGCGTAAGCTGATTTGTGACTTTTTAGGTCCAAACAGTTGTTTTAATTTCTCCACTGTTGTAGTGAAATTATATTCACGTGGATGGTTAGGCAAAATAAAGTCCATATATTTATTATGCACAGTTGTACTGAGTTTTCTTAATAGAAGCCTGACCTTCGCTGCGTCATCAAGTTTGCTACCATCTACTAAGAACAAATCTTCATACCTCGTGTACCACGTTTCAAATGTTAGGTTATTTTCTGGATCATAAACAAATTCCGTGAGACTCGAAGCTAAAATCTCCATTGTTTGCTCCGGTTTTTCTGTTTTCGGAACTGCTTCAGTATGCATTTTCATTTGCAAACACTCCTTGAAAAGTTCACGCATTGCTTCCGTGTCTTTCGCACGTTGGTTTTGCATTTCTTGGAAAAATAACTGGAATTCTTGTGGATTCATTTTTTTTTTGTGTACATATATTTTTCAATGTAATGCAAAAAAAAATATCCTCGTCGCCACTATTAAATCTGTATAATTTCGATATTTATTATTCAAAAAACTCCTAGTTATTATTATTTCACAAGTTCAAAATAACTAACAGAATTAAAATGTTAATTCTTCTTTATCTGTCATCTTGGCAGAGTTGCCAACACTTTGATTATTGCTTAAAATATTATTTCGACTATTGCTTCGAAGCAATAGTCAAATATGTGAAATCAACCATTGCTATCGGCTTCGACTATGTGATCGTGCACAGTCGGAAGCATAGTTAATAGGGGTATTCACTCTCTCTTGTGAACTCATTGCAAGGAGCACGAAATGCAAAAATGCTATACAAAAACTGCAAGAACACCTCAGATGCATCATCAAAATGAATCAGCTGCTTTTGTAGCCGTATCACATTGAGCAAAGAAAAATAAAAGTATAACAATGTCGCGAACAAGTGAAATACAAAAATGTATAGATTTTTTTATTGAAAATAGTGCTTTAAATATTCTGATTGAAGGTATTAACATGTTGTTAATGTAGTTTTCACTAATGTATAGTTTCTATTTGTTAGATGATGCAAATTATTGGAAAATGATGGAGCAATTAAATGAAGACCTTTTGTTTACTTTAGTAAACCATTACGGAAATCACCAACCCGTACCAAACTCTATTCAATGGAGATCTACAATTCTTCAAGAATTTGATGAAGCCCGTTTTCGTCAGATGCTTAGAGTAAATTGGAACGAAGTTTCTTTAATACTCTCACTAATAAACACTAGCGCGGAGTTGACTAATTCACATTCAATTCAACAATTCCCGTTCGATCTTCAACTTCCTATTGTTTTATATCGTTTGGGTTCATCAGGCGAAAATGCGGCTTCGTAAAATCGCTACATTATTTGGTGTTGGAGTTGGGGAAACAATTTATAAGATAACCCGAAGAGTCTTTCGCTTTATATTGGAACTGCAAACCAAATTTATAACGTGGCCAGATGTAGCTGAACGACAAGATAAAGTGGAGAAAACCTATCATGAGCTTCCACATTGCATAGGATATTGACAGTACTGAAATAAAACTTGTCGAAGCACCATTGGTTAACCATACATCCTATTTTTCAAAAAATAGAGTGTATTCAATAAAAGCATAAGTCGTATGTGACTATAAGTTGAAGATTCGACATGTCGCAGTTTGTCACATTGGAAGTGCACATGATACTCGCATGTTTCGCACAAGCGCTCTCTGCATTCAAAAAAATTCTATATTTTCTTCAGAACAATGGTTAGCAGCCGTTTCTGTTTATCCATTACTTAAAACTCTTATAACTACGTTTCGGTCAAACTCCCAACAACTTGACTACTCCAAACGTAAAACTTTTAACTTACGCCATAGCAGATTTCGTGTAAGGATTGAACATTGTTTTGGACTTCTGAAGGAACGCTTCGGAAGTCTTAAGGAGTTAAGAATCCGTATTTAGAAAGATACGAGTCATAATTTTTGTTCAGATTGGTTCCTTGTTTGTGGCATATTGCACAACATTTTGCGACCTTCATGTGATGATACGGAACACGTGGATTACTTACATGACAACGACGAAGAATCTGATTAGCTTATGCGGAATGAAGCTAGTCAGAGAACCAATGAAGGAACTTCGAAGAACTCCAATAATTACGAATAATCAATAATTTACGAATACAAATATATAAAACATACATATATGTATATATATTTAATATATAAGTCAATTGCGACATTACTTTTTTCCAGTAGGTTTATTTCATGAAAAGAATAATGTATAAAAACGTATATATATATTAATATATTAATATATATATATTAATATATTTAATAATAATATAATATAAAAATAATTAGTATAATAAAAATAAAAACTAATTAGTTATATAATAAAAATATAACTAGTTCTTAATTTATTATTGTTATTTCTTGTTTTTTTTATTGAGGGGGGTAGTGGGGCTTTGCACAGCAGAACTTACGACTTTCGGTGCAGAGCTGGATGATGTGTTGTCTGCAGACGATTCAATAAAATAAACTTCGTCGCCTAGCGCAGAACTAGCTGGTCCAAACACTTTATTCAATAGTTCAAAATGTGGACAAACTTTCGTAAGTTTCACTGAAATTGATAAATAGATAAATTATTTCACAAATGTATATGTATATAATATTATATTTGTGAAAACTTAATTAATGGCCACATCGTTTTAAATCATTGAACGAAACGCATGTATATAGCATAGCCATAGATTAACATATCTCGAAATTTTACTAACCGTCAATTCAAATTTAAAAAGGAGAAGCAACAAATGTCAAAACAGCCGATTTCTGCCATTTCTGTTTTGTTGCAAGCAAATATACATAGGTTTTAGTATTGGAAGATTGCATGCACCCAGCGGGAATCGATTCCCTCAGCGCTGAATGGTAATGCCTAGCGCTGATTCTTCAAAGGAATCTCCTAATTACTTTAACACGTGCATGTCATTGCGGGCAAGCGCTGAATCGTTCGATTACCTTTTCAAATTTGTAATGCAACATGCTCGCTTACCTTTTCGAATTTGTAATGCAACATATCAGCGCTGACATGTTCGCTTACTTTTTCGAATTTGTAATGCAACATATCAGCGCTCTCATGTTAGGTTACCTTTTCGAATTTGTAATGCAACATATCAGCGCTGATATGTTCGCATACCTTTTAATTTTACCTATGCTATTGATTTTTAAATAAAATACTATAAATTTTTTTGAATAAATTATATTTTATATTTTATATTTATGGTTTATAAAATTGAAGTATTAATATTTACATAAAAGAATATAACATATTTACATTTTAAATTATTTATACATAATTATTTACATATTAATTTATTTAAATATTATCTTATTTACATATTAAATTATCAATTTATTCACATATTTACATAACATATTAACTTATTTAAATATAAACTAAGCTCATTCACATATATACATATTTATATAAAGATATATCATTCTGTGGTATTGTTGCTAGAGACTTGAACAGATTTCCGGACACTCCTCGCCTTGTGGTACCTGTTTTTGGCTGATCGAAACGCATGCCTTATTTCATTTTCGATCACTTGGCTAGGTTTACCATCTGTCCTTAAAGCGTCTGTAAATACAAAAGTATGTTAAGTTATTGTATACGCTAAAATAAATTATTTACAATATACTATACCAAAAAGTGCTGCTGTCACATTCTTTAACGCTCTTAAGGACTTCTTGCCTTATGTACCATCGAAGTTATAATTTATGAGTATACTTTCTACAAAAATCCACGAAATCTTTCGCGTTATTGGTTGTTTGTCAATAACGCGTCTCATTGATGCAGCCTATAATTAACGAAATAGATGAAAAGAAATGTATGAGTTCGTAAAATTGTTACATGTGAAAATATTAATAAGTTGAAATTGAAAGTAAGAAACATATATAATTTAACTTACAACTACTTCAGCGGCAGTGTTTCCTTCGTTAAACTAAATTAAATCCTCATCAGATTAAATTGGAAACTGTTCCAATTGAAGCAGCTGACAGCATTTTTCACTTGCTTTAGAGTGACTGCATTCGCAGCACATTAATCAATTAATCGTTCTTGACGCAGTTGCATCTACATAATACAAAACAAAAAATAACATTTAAAATTTTAATTATATTTACTTAATTTTGCATATACTTACAGTTACTTTATGTTAAATTCACAAGTTATATTTTATTTATATTTTTAGATTCACAAATTATATTTAATTAATATTTTTATATTTTATTTTGATTTTAAAAATTAAAAATTGTTCACTGCACTGATTTGACGCACTTCACTAAAATCAAAAGCAGACTAAATGTATATAATGTTGGCAAAACAAGAAATTCTTAATACTCATATGCTTTTCTTCTTCATTCTTTTATAATTTCAACCCCGAAATTGCATTTGTCGAACACAAATGTCGAAAACAAAGAAAAATAAAAACGAAGAGCTATTACCTCCTCGCTTACTTTTTCACCGCTGGCATAATGGTGCCGCTGGGCAATTGTACGAAATTTTGTGCGTGTATTTTGTTGTGTTATTTGCATTCTCGTACATTCTCTGCATTTCGTGCACCTAGCAATGAGTTTGCAAGAGAGAGTGAATACACCTAATGAAACTATTTTGCGTTTTTGCTGTTGCTTGTGAAATTTGCTTTTTTCTTTTTTGTAGTCATAGTCACAGCAAATAGTTAAGCTTTAATTTCAAACTCTGTCCAGTATTCCTTTCTAGTTAACTTCTTGTGTGAGATAAACACTACCATTGTAAAAAATATACAGCCATAGTCAAAAGTATTTACATATCGAAAGTTTTTGTACATATTGCATAAAACATGTTTTTGTTGTTACTGTTGGATGTAAGATGCAAAAAATTTTTTGTTGTCACTTAGTTTTATTTATGGAGAACCAAATAAAAAAAAAATTGCAAAAACAACTGTTCATTTAACAAAAATATAAGCAAATGCACTGATGCCTATTAATTGTCAAAAGTATTTACACACATTTTTTTCGCGTCAAAAGTATTTACACAAAACGTTAATTTCATTTTCTTCTTCTTAATTGATGAATTTTTTAAAATTGTTTTTATTTTTATTTAATTAATATGATTAATATTTGGTTACACCACCTTTGGCATCAATGACTGCCCGCAACCTAGCTGGAATTGATCCAATCAAGTTGCGAATCAATTTGGACCGAATATTTACATTATGCTATCACAACATTTTGGATTTCTATCAATGGTATTTTGCTGTTTTATGCATATTCAATGACATTAAGACCAGGGCTCTGTGCAGGTTATAAAAAACACCAGGATTTAACTCTTTTTAAATTGGATTAAGTCTACATCCTTGATGATATGGTGTATTGTCATGTTGTACAACCTAGTTATTGATTGGAAAAGCTCTATTTTCTG